AAAAATTAGAAACTTAAGTTTTATAGTTGGTAGCTATCACGCCATTTTTAGTCTGTTTTTAAAGAAAAAATATCATAGAAGTTTCGAGAATTCAAATTATCAATTTCTTGCGCATAAATTTTAGGTTGAAATTGACGTATAGTTGAACTTGAACGAGTGACACGTTTCTAAGAAGTGAGTAAATCAACGAACTTTTTAATTCTTAAAAATACTAAATAAAATCATGAAAGAAAACTCAATCTACGTAATGTACTATATATAGTGAGCGAATAATCGTGTTAAATATACCATCAATACATGCAAACGAATTAACAAATGCTAGGGGCAACTTTAAATATCATCTTGAGGGAAATATATATATATATACACACACACTAGGTTTGAGAAGTGCAATGCACGTTTGCTTAGTTTATAAATAATTTTTTTGGTTAATTAAATAACTGATAATGTAATGTTTATGTAATTGATAAATAATTGCACATTGTGATACATTAAAAAAAAAAGAGTATTAATAGAATCCATAGCATGGTCCTATAAATAAATATCGCTCATAGTTTTATGAAAGTTGTTTGAGATAATTTTGATTTTAAGAAAACGATTCAACATTTTCCTCATCTTGCACTACTTTAATAGATAGGGCATTAAACTGCCTATATTTTTTCTCATTTAGTTTCTCTAGATCTACATAAATTTGAATTTTCCAAATTTGTTTTGATAATTTCTCTGCAACGCTTTTAATATATGGTCGATTTTCCTACAAAATAAATTTTGAATAGGTTTACATAATTAATAAAAACCTCAATTATTTTTTAAAGAACTCATTATAATAAAAATCAAATTTTGAAGAAAAATTTAAGAAATACCTCTCCAGCATGTCTTATCAATTCAACTGTTGAACGACCAAGTGCTTGTTCTGCTACTTCACCAAACATAGTAGCTGCTAGTTTTCCGGTATTATCGTCCAGTTCAACATATCCCCTAACACTTTAAATGCGTTGAATATATTAATTTTAATTTGAATAGTGTTAAATTCTAAATTAAATCAGACATCAATTTTAAATTAAAATTGCAAAATACATACTGGTTTACAGACCTCTTGGCTTTTGCAATATATACAAACGAAGTTTTCATTGTATTTATATTTAGTTCATTTATTACAGTCAATGCATGACATGTAATAAAATACTTGGGCAAACTCAATCACATTTATCTTCGCCTATATCCAGAAATTTGCTTTCTACATTAAATCATAATCAATTTTTAGAATGAATGTTAGTGTAAAGACAAAAAAAATGAATAAGTTTATGTTTCGTACTATTATATTATATCAAATTTTGCACTTAATTATGAACATTTTGTATATAATAAAATAATAGATAACATTATAATATAAAACTAAATAAATAAATATTTTTTCTTCATTAAATTCAATGTACTTTACCAATAAATTATTAGCATTTTTAAATTGATAATCTCCACGTCTATTTTTTTTAGTTTAATTTTTTCATAGTGACTAAAATGTAGTAATACAAAGTCTTTTGCATTTCTCATTCATTTATTATTAGATAATGGAATTCCAACAGACACAACATCAATGATCACAAACGGTGGTTTAATTGCTATTTAATGGAAACAATAAAACAAACGGTGAAAAAATATTTTCCGTTAAAACAACCAATTCCGTTAGATTTTCCGTTAAAACAAGAATTTTCGTTTCATATGCACTTTTTATATATAGAAGATATATATATAAACTTGACTCTATCGTAAAATTTCGATAAATTAATAATCTATGGGACTCGACATTCATCATACTTTTATTGCATAAAATGGAATTGAATTTATGTGATCTATGGATATCTCTTAACCAACTTGTCGATGACCAACAATGTTTTCATTTGATCGAATCTTGCAATGTTGGAAACTATATGCAATGTTTTTCAAACTAATAACTATTTATTTATCACCTAAAATAATAACATTTTTTTACTCTCGAAAATATTATTTTATAAAATTTGACTATGCTTAAAAGAATATTACTAAATGAATAAAATATTAATGAGTGGTTATATTCGCGCTACATTCTTTTATAAATAAGCTACATTTTAATTACATTATATATTATCAACCTTTATTTATTATCACACTTATATCCTTAATTTTTTGCCATCACATTCTTATTTTTAATATTTTCGTTTAAAAATATTGTTAATATACTTTAAAATGAGATTCTTTGGAGACAAGTCATAATAAAAAATAATTTATGTTAATTTTTGAATAATAAATGCGATAAAAAAAATGTTCGAGAGATAAATATTATAATGTGTAAAGATTGTGAACCTTTTTATACAGTTAAAATATAGTCTAATTATTAAAATATATAGTGTGAATATATTTAGCCAATATTAATAGAATTAGAATTGTGAGCGCCTTTAGTTGTATTTGGATTGCAATTGTGTTAGCCTGCAATTGGAAATTAATTTATAAATTTAAGTTTAATTAATTTTAATAAAATATTACTAAATCATTATTTACACATTTCGAGCCCCATTTTGTTGAAAAAATAAATTTTGTAATAGCGATCTTGTAAAATGTGTGGTTATAAAGTAGATTTTTTTTTTTCAAATTTATGTGTAAAATTATTTTATTAAAAAAATGTATGATTAAAAACAAGTTTGAAAAATAAAAATTTAAATAACATGGCTTAATAGGATTTGGTACTGTTTATCCCTATAAATAATTTATAAATGGGGAATTTACAAAAAATGTCAATTCCATGCTTTTCAATTGAAAAATAAATAATTTTGATAACTCTTATTAAAATGGTCAAATTTGGTACAAAATTGTCTATTATACTGTAACACCCCGGAAATTTTAGAATAAAAATTTATTTGTTATATATATCATTTTTAAAAAAAAAAAAAAAGTTGAGGGACTAAAGTGATATATGTATTAACTTCGATTTTTGGCTACATTTTTTAGATATTGTTAAAACGACTGAAAATATATCAATATGGATCTCGTTGGATAGTTCGTTTTTAATTATGTAAATTAGGCTCAAGAAAAAGTCAATTTGTATGAGCGAGTCCCAAGTTATCGAGGTCGAAAGATTTTGCCTTAAATTATAATTTTTTATTTTTTATTTTTTTATTTTTTCAAAATCAAAGTTAATTGGGATGGATAGCGTGAATAAAAAAATTGTTATTTTTGTTTTTAGAATTCTATTTAAAGTCAAGTTGCAACCACCTTTTTGTAGTGATAAGTATTTTGTACACATTTCACATCGTGATTTGTTTACTAGCAATTCAATTTTATCAAATGTGATAAATAAGATTTTCCATCACAATTTCCTATAACTCAACCATTAAATTTTTCAACTATAAATAGTGTGTCAATGTCTCATAATTCACTATCACAAAATTTTACACAACAGTTTTCATATAAAGCAACTGTAAATTCTAAATACATTTTTTTATTATCAAAAACTCGTTTGATCAATTAAGGTAAAATATTTTTTGTGCAAGTTGTTTGTTTCCTTATACTTTTATATTCAGTAATTTATGCATGAATTGCCAGTGGAATGTGAACTCCTTTGAGTTCTTTATAATGAAATATGAAATCTTTCGAGAATTCAAAATGAGAAATGATGGGTATCTCTTTTGATCACTGATATACTCCATAAAGAGAAATGTGGTATGAATTGTCTATATTATTGTTATGTAATTGCGTATGGAAATTGTACGTATCTTTCTGGGTGTTTTTTAACATACTCACTCTTACAAATTTTTACATGTTAGATCGGGTCGATTGGAGTTGTGGCGGGATGGTGCATCGGATTGCCAAGGAATTTCGACATACGAAAATAATAAGTTTTAATGTATTTAAATTCATTAGTTTATTTTGTTCAATAACGTTATTATCGAATTTATTAGTTGAGAATTTTTAAGTTTCTTTTTTTAAAGGCATGATTTATTATTTCAAATTCGAACTTATGGATGTTTTAATATTTTGTTATTAAAAAGTTTTATCGTTCCGCATTTTAAGTAAATAAAGGTAAATGAAATTAATTTTTGGTAACACCTCAAAATCAATGAAATTTTGGGACGTTACATGTACCCTCAATGAAAAATGAAGAAATTATTTTTCAATTTGTCACGAATTTCGAGGAGAACAAATAGCTTCCATGAGAAGCTACATTAATACTAACTAATACCTAATAGATTCATTTGCTTTTATTATCTATTAGGTATTGACCAAGAATTTTGAAGAAAAATGAAGAGGATGAAGTAGAAAAGTCATTAACACTAAAAAATAATTATATGCTTCCAATTCATAAGAAAATCATATTTTTATTTCGAACAATTTAATCTCATCTAAATTTGCAATTGATTAGGTTTTCCACAATTCTCGGTAGAATGTAATTTTTCTTTGAAATCTTGTTTTTGTTGATAAGTTGTGTTTAATAGTTGTTATTCTTGACATTTCATGACGTTCTCGACATTTGGACCATATTTATTTTGACATTTCATTTGTTTAGAATTGGATTTCGTTCTGATCATGAGAGTTCTCTTTATTTCATAATATTCTTGACATTTTAAGTGTACTTCTCGACATTTCATAAATGTTTTATTTACCTACATATAAGGATAAGTGAACATTTAATGCATAATTGACATGATATTTTTTAAAAAAAAGGTAGTATATGTTATGTGTCAAGTTATTATTCGTCAATATAATTTTTAATTATATAAATAATTTTATCTTTATTGTGGAATTCAAAATTGTTAACGATGTCATTTTGGTCTATATTATAATAAAATGAAAATTGAAGAAATTTTGAACATTTTTACACGTGACTATGTAAAAGTTGACTTTTTTTTGCAATTTCCTCTATAACAGAGGCTATTTTTCTCTATAAACTGATTGTCTCCAGATCCGCCAAATCACTTGTACCTTCCCAATCATTTGTTACCTGTTCAACCTTTTGCCTGAAAGGAAAAATGGCCATGGAAGCTCAAACAGCAATCAAAGTAGTCGCCCTCTGCGGTTCTCTCCGTAAAGCTTCCTACAATCGTGGCCTCCTCCGTGCCGGTAATTCCTTCTCTTTTGCAGCTATGTAGTAGTAAATCCAAGTGTTGTATTTTTGGGTCAAAAAATTCAGGACTCTTTTACTTGAGAAAAAAATCATCCTCATTTTTCAATTTAAATAAATTTTTTTGTTAATTTTCATTTTCGATTTTATGGTTGCTGAGTCTGAAATCTGAATATAAAGAATAGGAAAACTAAATACAAATGTATTGGTGAGGTGATCTGATGAATTAATTATTTACTTGTGTTTGGGGATATGTATTGAATTGATCAATTATGTAGCAATGGAGTTATCGAAGACCATAAAGGGTATGGAAATAGAGTACGTGGACATTTCCCCTTTACCATTTCTCAACACGGATCTCGAGGTAGATGGGACTTACCCTCCTGTCGTGGAGGCTTTCCGGCAGAAAATTCTTGCAGCTGATAGTGTGCTCTTTGGTTCACCGGAGTACAATTACTCCGTCACTGGTACCGAAACAAATCTGAACTTTTTTCTGACTCGGTAAACTTATCGTGTACATACAATGTAATTTGTTCTCAGCATGCATTTAAGTGCTTCATGATCTGATTTGGCACTCTGTTACTAGTATAATGGATAGAGATCCTGGTTAGTCTGAGTTCTGATTCTAAGTCAACTATACCCAACTTGAGTTGAATTTTATTTGAAGTAAACTATGCCCAGCTGTTACATGACAATGATGAACACGATGCATTTAGTGAACTTCTGAAAGTATTATGTTGCCTTCCATGAGGATTTAAACAGAGAAAGCAGATATAGCAAAAATTGAAAAATCAAGGAAATGTAGCAAGCATTGAGCTACAATCTAAAAGCATGCTGGCAGTGTTTATAAATGGTTTAAAAGTTTTAAATTATAAGTAGATAGAAATGAGTAGTGAATAAGTGTGTAATCATTGTGGGTCTCTTGAAATGTGCGGATAAAAAGTGGCTTGAGTGTTTAGAAAATTTATGAACATGAGCCAAACATAGGCTAAGATGATCGTTCCTAGCAAATGAAGGAGATGGTGACCTGGGATTTTGTGTTATGATTACTCCGTACGCTATCTCCCTTGCCCAACAAATGCTTTGAATTAGGAGTAGGAGGATAGTTCAAATTTTCAGAGTGAACAGATGATTGCTTGTTATTTAATGTCTATACTAAAGAATGCTTCACACTTTCTGTCATCATGCTTTAACATTAACGTCTTACTCAATACTAGCATTTAATTAGAATAACTGAGAATTCATCTCACTTTCGGCTACAAAATTTGGGCAAAGCTAGTAAGAGAAAAGTAGAAAGGAACAAAGAGATCGAAGAAAGAATCATCATTTAGTAAATCACGGCCTGGGGACGTGCATCAAATTGATAAACTGAGATTTGTTAAAATTTATTCTTTATGATCCCATCAAATAAAAAAAGAGAAACAGCGAGGAAGTTTGAAGCGAAAAGAAATGCCTTCGGTAGCGGATAAGATTTTTAGATGGTAAGATGGAAATGTTACAACATCATCTTCGAATAATTCTAATCTTAAATGACTTTGGAGAGCGGATTTATCTCAAGGACTTCTCTGTTATACAACATTCTTGAGATTGTTCTGCTTTTTAATTGAAATTGAACTTTGAGGATCAAGTGGAGCCATTAGTAGGCACCAGACAAAATTGTCTTAATGTTTATTACATATCTTTATTAGATGGAAATTTTACCCCTAATTTCGTTCCGTGTAATAGTAAATATATCTCTACCAGTTTATGTTTGAAAAAATCCAACATCCTTGAATCAGTTGATTGACTAGCTGCAATGAATCATGTATAGCCTCAGAGATGAATCTTTCTCTGTTAGTTTCTTCAAACTTATTCGTGGTACAAGTCACGTGTTAAAATAGCTCATGATGTCATTTTAATTTAATTAGGACAGCAAGTGTTTAAAACTTCATTAATGATGTATGAATTATGCTCAAACAAATTTAAGATCATTTTCAGATCCAACCTAAGCTACTTGGCATTTATACATGCACACCTTCCCTGCATTGCTGCATCAATCCAAGATGACGTACGAATGTGTATTCTCACCATGCATTTGCTTAATTTGTTTTTTGGGTCCACCCAGGACCTCTGAAAAATGCAGTTGATTGGGCATCTAGACCTCCAAATGTTTGGGCTGACAAAACCGCTGCAATATTGAGCGCGGGAGGAGGCTTTGGTGGGGGACGATCACAATATCATCTCCGCCAGATTGGAGTTTACCTTGATCTTCATTTCATTAATAAGCCTGAGTTTTTCCTTCAAGCATTCCAACCTCCTGCAAAGTTTGATAGTGATGGCAACTTGATTGATGCTGCTGCTAAGGAGAGGATCAATGCGGTTCTTTTAGCTTTACACGCATTTACATTGCGACTTCAAGGCAAGTGTGAATAGTAATGTGTCTCTTCTGCTCTTTCATTTGAGCATTAAACTTATCTTTGTCTCACTGTGACATTAGCATGAAACTGTTTAAAAATAGTTTTCCATGTGCTTCTTTGATTGGCAAATACTATCAATTGAACTTCTCGATTTTTATTGCTTTGGAATTATGTAAGGTTGTGTTAAAATGTACCTGAATAATTACGTGACACTCAGCCCATGCTTGATGACCATTGTTTGGCAAAAACAGTGTTTTGAACAGTGATTTTTAAGAGAATGTGTGGTTAAAAAGTATAGAAAAATTTTGGATTTATGTACAGAATATTCTATTGTATGAATCAATGAATGTATGGTTGAAAATGAGTACGTAGGAAAAATAGTTTGAAAATAATGATTGTAGTTCAATAATTTTGATTGATGCTATGCACCTTTCAAAATAGAAAACGTGTCAATGACTATCGTAAACTCATTAGCACAGATTAAATCCACCAAATGCGTGAGTTGGACAAAAATATTTCAATGACTTTTAATTTATTTTTTATAAACTTCTGTTGTTGAAATTAACCTAATGTTCTCAAGGCATTTTTTTGCCAAAGTTCTCGAGGCAATATGTACTCATAAATGACATTTGAGAGGTAGATGCATGTTAAACAACACTTTCATAAATATTTTTTTCTTAAGCAAGTGTATATTTGAAGTGGCTTATGCTAAATATTAGCACCTTATGATATGTAAAATTAGAGATTGCTTCTTATAAGTCCCTGTTTGGCTCAACTTAATTTTTTTGATTAAAGTCTATATCAAAATTAACATTTAATTTATACATACATTTCATGGTATCAACAAATTTTCAACCCCACATTCGCATTAAGCCCCTGATTTCGATAAAAAAAAGAAGAGATTTTAAGTAGACGTTGATAAAAATTAATAAAATAAATGGTTAAAAAGTTAATAAAAATTGTCGATCCAATAAAATGTATGGTTGAAAATTGAGTTTGAGGAAAATGAGTTTGAATAAAATTAGAGATTGCTTCTTATAAGTCCCTGTTTGGCTCAACTTAATTTTTTTGATTAAAGTCTATATCAAAATTAACATTTAATTTTTACATACATTTCATGGTATCAACAAATTTTCAACCCCAAATTCGCATTAAGCCCCCGATTTCGACAAAAAAAAGAAGAGATTTTAAGTAGACGTTGATAAAAATTAATAAAATACATGGTTAAAAAGTTAATAAAAATTGTCGGTCCAATAAAATGTATGGTTGAAAATTGAGTTTGAGGAAAATGAGTTTGAAGGAAATAAGAGTCAAACAAGGCTAAGCCTATATATGTTTGATTTAGTTGAAAAAATATATATATTTAATAAAAGTTAATAAAATATTTAGTTTGAAGGAAATAAGAGTCAAAAAACTTCCTTATATTTTTTAGAAAAAGAGTACAAGCTCTAATTATTGTGGGAGATACACAATTTATCACAAAAAATAGGGAATCACGTTATTTATAAGCACAATCAAACATGTAATGAATCCATCCAAGGAACCGTTTAATTGAATCAAGATGTCGGAATCTCCAATTAAATAGAATGGTTATGGGGTCCCTAAGGTCGAGATAGTTTCTGTTAAGAGCTCGAAGGGACAGTACATGGAGCTTAAGGTTGACCTTGGGTTTAACTAATTGACTTTATTACACATAACCTTTTTATACAAATGCCAAATCATAGAAGTGGCTTCTCTAAAAATAAGAACTAGAATTTAACTCCAGCTTAACAACGTTTTAAAATATTGATTTTTTGAAAAATGTGTGGTTAAAAAGTATGATTTTTTTTTTTGAATTTACGTGCAATCGGGAGGAGGCTTTGGTGGGGGACGGTCGCAATATCATCTCCGCCAGATTGGAGTTTACCTTGATCTTCATTTTATTAATAAGCCTGAGTTTTTCCTTCAAGCATTCCAACCTCCTGCAAAGTTTGATAGTGATGGCAACTTGATTGATGCTGCTGCTAAGGAGAGGATCAACGCGGTTCTTGTAGCTTTACACGCATTTACATTGCGACTTCAAGGCAAGTGTGAATAGTAATGCGTCTCTTCTGCTCTTTCATTTGAGCATTAAACTTATCATTCTCTCACTATGACATTAGCATGAAACTGTTCGACTTAAAAATAGTTTTCCATGTGCTTCTTTGATTGGCAAATACTATTAATTGAACTTCTCTGTTGTAATAATAGTAGTTTTCGATTTTTACTGCTTCGGAATTATGTATGGTTGTGTTAAAATGTACCTCAATAATTAGGTGACACTCGGCCCATGCTTGATGGCCATTATTTGGCAAAAACAGTGTTTTGAACAGTGATTTTTAAGAGAATGTGTGGTTAAAAAGTATGGAAAAATTTTGGATTTTTGTACAGAATATTCTATTGTATGAATGTATGGTTGAAAATGAGTACGTATGAAATATAGTTTGAAAATAATGATTGTAGTTCAATAATTTTGATTGATGCTATGCACCTTTCAAAATAGAAAACGTGTCAATGACTATCGTAAACTCATCAGCACAGATTAAATCCACCAAATGCGTGAGTTGGACAAAAATATTTCAATGACTTTTAATTTATTTTTTATAAACTTCTGTTGTTGAAATTAACCTAATGTTCTCAAGGCATTTTTTTGCCAAAGTTCTC